TGGTGGCCCACAGAGGCGCAGGTGTGGGGCCCCCAGAGCCACCGATATAGGGCCCTAAGAGACACTAGTAGGGGAAGCCGGGGGAAGCCCGGGCGCGGGGGAAGCCCGGCCACCCCGTTTCCGGCTAAATTATTCACAATAGAATGTTCAAGTGTTTGTCCTTTCAGCGTGGCAGCTAAGGTAACGCCAGCAAAAAAGTTAAGGCCAACAAAAATTGCATATTGTTAAAGTTATAGAGCAAAAATGATATTTTAAGGGTTTTTAGCTAAAAAGTGAGATATGTTGCACTGTTAATGTTATACCATACAGTACTAATATTTATACGAATGTTATGTAAGGACCATTTATGTGTTTGTAGTGAGGGGTGACGAGGCAGGCTGGCTGAAGTATGACATTTTTCGAACATCGCTGTTCTAAAATAAAAATCATCACATTGGGGTAACCCCGGGCGAGTGGCCAAGCCTACCCCCAACCGAGAGCAATGCCACTAAACCACTGTTTTCCATGAGATAATAGGTACTGAGCAGGTTTGGTTTACACCTAGATCAAAGATAAATTTCGAAAATAAACATGTTATCATAGACAAAGCCAGTCATGTCACTTAAGGTCAACTAGGGTCAAACTATGTTTTTGCAGATAACGCGACAGACAATGAAGCTAGAGCTTCAAAAATGGTGTCGTTGTGTTCTTCTTCATCAGCCGAGTCGAATGATATGCAATATGATGCATTAAGGTAAAAAGAAAAATAAATTTTAGGGAATTTTGAAATTCACATTTTTTGTCAATTTTGCATCACGATTTTCATCGACCTGTACTGTATATGTGGTAGACGCTAGCTAAAATACCAGTAGTGACATAAACTCTAAGATGTCCAGAGCTAATGCGTACCTTAATATTTCACTTTCCGTTAATATTTGGAAGACACATAATGGTTTCATCAACTCGTTGTAAAGCGCTGGGAAGGTGGCCGGCGTTACCCCTATGCCGGGCTTACCCCAGAAAAATCAACACTTTTTCAAACTCGATTTTCTCAGCTGTTTCGTTTGTTGACACAATAGGTATAAATAAGTACAGGATTTATATCACACAAATGATATACTTAAAATGACATGCTAGTCAGACAAGTAGATGAGACACATGAGACAGCCAAAATCCATGCGTAACACAAATTCTTAGTATTTGTCTCGAGACATTATTCTCGAGACATTATTTAAGAGCACTCCCGGAACACCTTCCCTGCAAGCTCGAGAGCACGAGCTTAAGTCCACTTAACCGAACACCCTTCCGCTTCGAGTGACACGTGGGCTGCTGTGGGCTTGTTCCGGTGGCTGCCTCGCCTGCTGTTGTGCTACGTGGGCTGGATAGTGACAAGATAGTCAAAGTCATCTTGCTGTGGGTTGTTGCAGTTTGACTTGGTATGGACACTGGCTTTTGGAGCGCGAGACACGAGCTTCAGGTGACGCCTGTTTCGACGATAGGTCGTTCCTCGGTGACTGATCAGGTAGCTTCGAGGGCCTAGTCTCTTTGTTACCAATGCCTTTGTTTCCGACCACTGCTTTTCCGCTTCTGTTCTTCCGGTAGCGCTGCTCCGTCCTCTTCTTTTGCTGCATGTCTCTCGAACGGGCCTCTTTTAGTCCGTCCTCTTCAGAAGTGAGCTTGGGTAGTCGCGTCCGCAGCTCACGCCCCATCAGCATGTGAGCAGGTGAATGGCCAGTCGCCTCAATGGGTGTGGCTCGGTAGTTCAAGAGCGCTAGGTGTGGATCCTTTTGTTTGAGTACCCACTTCGCGGTGCGCACTGCACGCTCTGCAGCTCCATTTGCAGACGGCGTGTGCGGATCTGTGATGCGGTGACTGAAACCGTAGGTAGAGGAGAAGTCCCGAAATGTCTGAGAGGTAAACTGCGTGCCACCGTCTGAAGTCACACAGTCAGGGATACCGTAACGGCTGAAGAGCGACTTCAAGCGCTCTATCACTGCTGCAGCTGTGGTGCTCGGAAGCTTCTGTATCTCTATAAAGCGGCTCAATAAATCGACTGTGACAAGGTAGTCAGCGTTGGCATGATGACAGATGTCAGTTGCTATGTGCGACCATGCTTTCGTCGGCACTGCTGTCGATAGAAGAGGCTCCTTCTTCTGGATAGGCGCGTTGACTTGACAGAAGTTGCAAGCTGACACATATTGCTTCAAGTCTGCACCAATACCTGGCCACCACACCGACGCATGGGCTCGTTCTCGGCACTTCCCTATTCCGAAGTGGCCGTCGTCGTGGATTTTGCTGATGATGCGATAGGCGGCGGCCGCGGCCATAACGGCCGGAGCGACACTAGCGCCACCATCGGCGGCCGGTCGGAACTATCGCAACGGATCGCACGTTAACCCGCGCCCTGCTGGGGGGGGGGGTGTTTGAACACCCCCCCCCCTGTGGTTTTTCGCGAATATCTCAAAAACGGCGGCGCGGAGCGCCGCCGTTTTTGGTACACCTTATCATACATCAATTCTACACATGTTGTGAAAATTTCAGACCAAGGTCATTCAAGGTCAGGTCACCAGGTCACTCGAAGTGACCTCACCTCATAAAAAGTTTCAATGTCTGTCATAGCTACACCGAGTGACCGATCGCTTTGAAACTTTCAGCGATTGCTAAGAGCATTAGCATGTACAAAATTTATATCTCAGAATTTTGATATCGATGACCTAAGGTCAGGTCAATTTTGCGACCTCACCATTATAAGTCAATGGGAGAAAATTGAAATGCGCCTGTTTTGGACGAAAGACATTATAAACACTCCCAAACACTGAATTACAAGTGGTTTAGACACACTGAACATGAAAATGGTGTCTGTGACCCCTGTTTATCCCCTGAGGTCATCTTAGGTCACGAATGGTATCTAACAGTTTTTCGCAAATAACTTTTGATAGAGGCATGCTAGAGCGATGAAAACGCCTTAGATGTGTTCAGCTCGACGATACGGATCGACTGATATGCAACATGACCCTTTCCGGTCAGGTCATGACCTTGACCTGAGGTCAAATTTTCAAGTTGACCTTTCAAGGTCAAATTATAGTTCGTTCGATGCGTCTTGACGAGAGGAACACGATGCCGGTAAAAGTAAGCTCGTACAATGCTTGGGTCAAAAGTTATTGCAGAAAAACTGTTTCCGAAAAAATCGGCTATTTTTGCAGTTTTTGCCCCCTGCAGGCAAAACCGTTGACGTTAGGTCAAATCTGAGAGAATTACTCAGAAAGGGCGTTAATAGGGCTATCGAATGCGCTTTTCCGCGGCGCTGTAGCTCTATTGGTTCCCGAGTTATGCGTTGGTTTCTTGGAAATTTTCGACATTCGACCTGGAAATCGGCGAAAATTTGCCTTCAATGACCTCTGGTGACCTGACCTTTGACCTGACCAAAAAATTGACCGAAGTGATTTCCTCATTATTTTTGACGCTCTTTCGAACGCCGCCTTCCGCGTATCGCTACGTGGCCCAGGAGCCGAGTTAGAAGGGGGGGTGTTCAAACACCCCCCCAGCAGGGCGTGGAAATCCAGGACCCCCAGCCGGGCGCGGGTTAATTCAAATTATTTAGTAACGATACGTTATGCGTCAACGAAACCTTAACTGAAAATTTTAAAAAAATGCATTTCATATTATAGCTTAATTTCATGATACATCTCGCGATGTAAATAGGTATTTTAATGGATAATTTGATTAGTAAATAATTGCATCGCTTCAATTAACTAATAATATCATTGCACATATTTCGCATTCGATAAATGCCCCACCGGAATATGAAAGCCCACAAAGTAAGCTATCTAAAAAAGTATATTAGTCACAAGTCAGTGATGGCTTATGCTACTTTTGACGCGATTGTTTTCGTTATCGGTCGATATAACATACACTTTTACTATATTCCAAAGCGTACAACTCAGTCAAATTTGAATATTACGTTAATGCCCCAGTAGATAATTAAACATCAATTAATTGCCGTTCGAATGATGTTACGCATGCCTCAATGGTGCCTACCCTAAGCTACTTTTTTCTCGTGTCTTGATAAGCAAGCACTAGGCAAAATTGTGGTATCACCATAATTAACTAATAAAATTAATGAATAAATGACACCTTCGATAAATGCCCCACCGGAATACGAAAGCCCACAAAGTAAGCTTTCTAAAAATGCATATTAGCCACAAGTCAGTGATGGCTTATGCTACTTTTGACGCGATTGTTTTCGTTATCGGTCGATATAACATACACTTTTACTATATTTCAATGCTTACAACTCAGTCAAATTTGAATATTACGTTAATGCCCCAGTAGATAATCAAACAGCCATCAATTGCTATTCGAATGATGGTACCCATACCCCCATTGCGCCTAGCCTAAGCTGCTTTTACCCCCTGTCTTCATTGCCAATCACTGGGTGCAATAGCGGTCTCAGGCCTTTTCCGGGCAAAAATGATTTTTAGGGTGAGGGGACAAACGCAAAAGGTATTTCTTTCAAATGTAGCTACTTAAGCGTTTCAAATAAGAGTAAAACTGGAGAACTTCACTTACCTGAACATAATTTACTTAATCTTAAAAATTGACTACCTAATCAAAGTATCAGTAGGCATGATCCAAACATGTAGGTACCTAGGCATGGCGGCGATGGGAGATACCTGTCAGGGTGCGGGCCAGTTATTTTCATGTTCAATCTCTTCATATTGACGCAATCAACGTCGCGTAAATATAGAATGTATATTCTTCGCAAGTAGCATATCAAAACATTTATCACAAATCTAATGCAGTCACCAGATTCTGATGCGCCAACATTTCGATAGGTGCACATTCGCTCGCAATTCAAGTCACATAACAATTTTTAGCTGCCTTCAACAGTCAGCGGCCGTCCTGCGTCAAGGCATGTCGCATTCCGTCCTGTTTTTCAACAGGTTGTTGGGTAAACACTTGCATAGATTCTGCCCGCCCAGTAGTTAAATCACAAACATGAAATAACTGAATACGAAGAAAAAAAAACGGGCCGATCATGGACAACAAGAACACCGACAGGAACATTTTCATTAAGTTCGCAACCTCGTGGCGAAGTTAATCGAGATCACGACTTATCGTCCTATAGGTTCATTACTTTTACACACTTTAGAAGTAGCAGTCGCAGCTGCATCCCGCTTTGGAGGCCGAGGAAATCCATGGCAGGAGGGCAAAAACAAGAAAAATATGCTTTTGTGACGGCCGGCTTTATCTAAATTACTGAACTCCACTTTTCGTCCCGAACAGTGATTTTTCCTCGGCATGCTATTTTACTCTGAATGAACTCGTGACTCGAGGTTTAGGAATTTCGCGCCGATTGAAGTTCGTCGGAAGCACGGAGGACGTTTCTTTGTCTAGGACGAGTGGTACGCGTGCCTCCATTGCGTGTAGCCCCACTGCGTTTCCAGCTGGCAAATCTCGGTGCTGACGATGTCCTTTAGGTCCACTAAACGTTGATGCACGTAGGTGTCGCACTCATCTGGAAAGAAAAGCCAAATTGTCACAAAAACATTTTCTTCAGTGTCACTGTCATTCACCAGAAGGCTCATATTTAAAACCCCTTAGCCCTAGGTAAAAAGATATTATGAGGAATTTCGGTCCCCCCTAGTGAAACTTCACATTCATGCGTGAGCAGCCTGATGGTAATAATCTTATTTGTAAAACAATAAATACAAACTGACAACTGACACTGACACTACTACGAATCAGCCCAGAAAAAAGAGCATACTACCTAGGTACTTGACAAATGGGATACCAATTTCAAAGAAAGTAAGTCAATTTTTCAAAGCAGCCTGAATTAATATATGCAGGCTAGAAGCATATGCCTACTATCTGAGGAGTTAACAAGCAGCCGTTTAATGAAGTGAGTTGCAGACTGCAGAGCCACCACAACAATTCTTGAAACTGCACATGAGTGACACATGTTCTGATTTCAGCAGCATGTTGTAATGGCATTGGGTGGTAATGGCATACTAATAAATTTAGTAGGCACTACTTGTTGCATCAATGTTAAATAGGGAAGATCAATACATACTTGGGAAGCTGATGTCAAAGGTAGTTATGAAAGAATCACTTCAAACAAGTTATGAAAATGTTGTGAAAGGGTTCCAAATAATTTACAAAAGGGCAGTGTCGAATGACTGCAGTGTCACAAAATTATATTAATGCTTGGGTGTTAGAGGGGAAAATTCTTCTCCAAAAAAGGGATGAGGGTGGTATATTCTTGATAAGGTTAGCCACCCCAAAAAAAAATAAAGAACAGAAGAAGGAAAAATTGCACACTTTTCTGTACAATGGTAGAAGCTGATGCGATCATGCAATTAGATGCTCTTTCATGAGTGGTAAATTGCTATTGAAAGTTGGAGGTGGGAGTGGAAAATTATTTTCATTTGGATGTCTTGTTTCACCCAAATTGACAAATTTTGGGACACTGCGAATGAGTTATGAAAATTTTGCCAAAGGGTTCAACAAGTTAACAAAAGTGTTGTTTGAAATGAGTTATGTAAAGGCTGTGAAAGAGTTATGAAAAATTTGCAAAAGGGTTCCTTCAAAAGAGTTACGAAAAGGTTCCGAAAGAGTTACAATGAGTTAATGAAGATTTTATGAATGAGATATGAACAAGTTGTCAGAGGGTCACAAATAATCTATGAGAAATTTGCTTTGAATGAATTATGAAAGGGCTGTGAAAGGGCTACAATAAGTTAATGAAAAGCCTCTTTCGAATGAGTCAGGAAAATGTTGCGAAAGGGTTGCAAATAATTTACGAAAGGGTTATTTTGAATGAGCTATGAAAATATTGCACATAGTTAAGAATAAGTTATGAAAGGGTTACTCTGAATAAACTAATAAAAGGCTGAGAAAGAGTTACGATGAGTTTACGAAAGGGTTGTTTCAAATAAGTTATGAAAAGGCTGCGAAAGGGTTACGAAGGGCTTGCGTAAAGGCTTAGTGAAAGGGTTGTGACCTAACAAGTTGCGAAAAAATCACAGCAGCTTTAGGAAAAGAATATGAATGGATAAAGAAGTAACAAATTTTGTTGCAACAAGTGAGGAACGATGTCACACTAATGGGGCTATAATTATACTCAGAAATAAAGCATCTCAGTCTAGTCCATGAAGACTGAAGAGCAGGCTGCACTTAATTGGTGGCTTACCTCGAAATCACTGGCCGACTCACCCCTTCCACTAGATTGATCTGGCGATTTAACACCTTTTTTTTCAAATAACGGAAACCCAGGCAATTGCCTAAAACCCAGAAGAAACGTTTGAACCGCTGGAAATGCCGAGAAATTGGCGGCAATATACAGGGAGGGTACACTGCGCAACAAATGTCTCATAAGCGCATGGAACGTATGCAGTTTCCAAAGCTCTTGATAATATCAAGAACATGTTTTTTTTTTCTTCTAATCCCCATCTGGCCAAATGTCCGCCTTTACACGGGGCCTGCACCCTAACGGTCTGCTTTCATGCGAGTTGGTATCACCAAACGCTTACCATTCATGATCAGGGGCCCGAACGTCATGTGTAGCACGCTCAACTGACCTCTTTCCTTGAAAAACTCGCTGAGGGGGCCCGTCTTCGCACTCTCTCTCCATCCATTCTGAATTTGCTCTGACACTGCTCTCATCAGGTCATCCTCTTGCTGACATTTGCTGATCTCTTCCAGCTTCTTCACACTGGCAGGGAGGTCGCTGAACACTCCCGTACAGTGTTCGAATACTTCTTGTTGGATGACCTCGCCTACGTGGTCTGCAGTCATTTTCAGAGGATTCCTCGACAGATAGTCTGGAATACAATGTTCCTTTCCTGGCACGAAGACGGCTGTACCGTTGTAGTGCATGAGCCGCATCAACATCCTCTGGCATCTGAGAGGCGCGTCTTCCAGGTTCTTTGAATTGATGAGAGGGACGAGTGGTTTGTGGTCCAATTCCAGTCGGAACTCTGGAAGACCTGAGAGAAACATGTGGAACTTTCCACACGTCCATGTCGCTGCTAGCAGCTCTTTCTCGATCTGGGCGTATCTCTTCTCCGTATCGGTCAGTGTTCTGCTGCAGAATCCCACGGGCTTCATGCCTTTTCCGTGGCGCTGGAGGATACAACCTCCTATTCCAAAACTACTCGCGTCGGCGCTGACGACCGTCTCTTTTGATGGATCGAAGAATGCCAGCACGGGTGCCTGTGTCAGCAGATTCTTTACCTCTGCAAGTGCTTTTTCTTGCGGATACGACCAGTTCCATGCTGTATTTGTTCTGAGGAGCTCATTCAGTGGCTTCAGTGTTTCCTGCACGCGCGGAACGAACCTGCTAAGATGATTGATCATCCCCAGGAGTGATCGCAGTTGCTTTGTGTTTGCCGGTGCTTCTAGAGCTCGGATTGCTTCCAGCTTCTCTGGGTCGACTTGCAGTCCCTCCTGAGAAATCTTCATTCCCAGGAAGAGGACGCTAGACTGACGGATCACGCATTTCGACTGGTTTAGCTTGAGACCAGAGGCTTCGATGCGTTCCATCACGGCTTTCAACCGCGCGTCATGGCTCTCCTCGTCACCGAAGCACATGATGTCATCCATGTAGCAGATAACTCCTGGTAAATCTTTGAGAGTCTCTTCCATTTTTCGTTGGAAGCATTCCGGAGCCATGTTGAGCCCCATCGGTAGGCGGAGAAAGGCCTTTCTTCCAAACGGGGTAATGAATGTAGTCAGCAGAGAGCTCTCCTCGTCTAATGGGAGCTGATAGAATCCGGAGACCGCGTCTAGCTTTGAGAACAGCGTTGCTCCGCTGAGCTTTGATGTGAGCTGTTCCAGAGTCGGTATGGGAAATATTTCCCGTTTTACTGCTTTATTCAAGTGCTTGTAGTCGACTGTGATCCTGACCTTCCCTCCAGCTTTCCTGACAGGCACCATCGGGGAGCACCACTCTGTTGGGCACGTGACGGGTCTGATGATGCCCGCTTCCTCCATTCTGAGCAGCTCATCTTCAACAGGCTTCATGAGAGGGATCGGAACCTTCCGCGCCGACGTGACAGCACATGGCTTTGCCTCTGCAGACACCTCCAGCTTGACTGGTTGAGTTTTCATCAGGCCGATTTCTCCGTAGACGCTCTGCTGAATGCCGTCTACGAATCTCAGAATTCCCAGCTTGGAACAGGTCTCTCGTGATAGCAGGTTCTCACATGTGTCAACGACATAGAAGGCCTCCTGCTTCAGTAGCATCCCTTTGTATGAGATGTCAGCGCTGAACATGCCGACGATATCCAGTGCGTGTCCCACACTCTGCAGCTTTCTATCGGCTGGTTTCAGCTGAACTGGATCCTTGAAAGCCAGGAACTGACGTCGGGTAAGCACGTTTACGTCGGCACCGCTGTCAGCTTTAAAGGAGCACTGCTCTCCGTGGACAGCCAGCTGCACCCGCCAATCTGATACGCCGCCACTTTCTGTTTCTCCTAAAAATGTCATCTTCTCGCTTTGCTCTGTCGGCGGTGATGCACTTGTCTCAGTGACATGACCGGGAGCTTTTGAGAGACACACTGCGGCAAAGTGGTCTCGCCTCCCACACTTGGCACACGTTCTTCCACGGGCCGGACACTCACTGGGACTGTCGTGTCTTGCGCGCCCGCAGTATTTGCAGGTCGTGCTTGTACTTATGTTTGCTCTGTTTTGGTTTGGCTTGTATCTTGGCTGGAATCTCTTCTGTTGCTCATGCCCTTTGTGTGCTTTTTGTCTCTTTTGATAATGAGTTTGGTACACTCTTTGAACACTCCCGATTGGTTCCTTTGATCTGGTGTCACCCTCAATGATGTCCGTGTTTCTTAGCATCTGTATAACTGTATCGAGAGTAACAGCCTCTTCCAGCGCCTTAAGCTGAACCTTCTTTGAAAGTTCCTTGTCTTTCATCCCAGCCAATAACCGGTCCCTTAGACGCTCCTGCTTATCGGCGAAGTCACATTTATCAGCTTGCGTGAACAGGGCACGGATGTATTGCTCATTGGACTCCCATTCCGCTTGGTTGCGCTGTTCAAAGCACTGTCTTTCGGCGATGTGGTTTCGCTTCGGAATGAAGTATCCATCCAGCTTATCTATCACTGCTGCAAAAGTGTTTGCTTCACCTACGAAAGATTGCACTACGCCCTCGGCTTCGGGTCCCATGCTGTAGATGAGTGCTGATACTTGAATTTCTTCATCTTCTTTGTGCAGAGCTGACGCTAGTCTGTATCGCTTGAAGCGTTCTCTCCAGGCAGGCCACTGATCTGGCGATGTAAAATCGAAGTTATCTGGTGGCTTAAACGAACCAGGCATGATTGGCTCTTGGATGCCAGGTGCTCTCTGTTTGCTTTTCTTGCTTCTCTTGATTTCTTGCTTTTTACTGTTTCTCTTGCTTGCTTGACTTTTTACTTTTACTTGTACTGGATATGCTTGTTTCTTTTCTTTTGTTGAAATATTCGCTTCATACCTATACACTTGGTTGCTTGCTGCTTTGCTTGCTTGCTTGCTTTGTTGTGAATATTTCTCGTACCTAATCGTGTCTTTTGCTTTTTTTTTACTATCTTACGTTACATTTTACTAATGGAAATCCTGCCGGCTGCGCCATGTTTCGTTTGTTGACACAATAGGTATAAATAAGTACAGGATTTATATCACACAAATGATATACTTAAAATGACATGCTAGTCAGACAAGTAGATGAGACACATGAGACAGCCAAAATCCATGCGTAACACAAATTCTTAGTATTTGTCTCGAGACATTATTCTCGAGACATTATTTAAGAGCACTCCCGGATCATCAGCCTTATACTTATTCCACGAAACCGACTTTTTGGGAAGACACGGCCAATGAACTTAGCTAGCTAACAGGATATCAACATTTTATACAGCACGTACGGTATGTAATAAAAATGAAAAAGAGCTTACTATGCCGGGCTTCCCCCGGCTTCCCCTATGACCCTCAAAGGCGCCGCTGTGTGGCGCTCATAAACACTGGTGTGGAGCCATCACAGGCGGGTGGAGTCGTTAGAGGCCGGAAAGGGCCCTTAGATGCCTACGAGGAGCCTTCAGAAGCCGGCGTGGCACGTGGGGATAAGCGTGTCTACTTAGGAGCCCTTGAGGTGCTCTGCTCTCATGAGCTCTGTGGGGCCCTACCGAGCCGAAATATGGCCACGGTCAGTTGCCGCCGCATGGCTCTTCGGACTATCATTATCAGGGGCCTCATCTGCCTAGTTTGAATAGAAGGGCCTCTCAGACCATCAGTCTCATGGGCCTCCTCTGGCTAGTATAAATAGAAGGGCCTGTTAGACCATCAATCCTAGGGGCCTCCTCTGGTTAGTATAAATAGAAGAGCCTCTCAGACCATTAATCTCAGGGGGCTCCTGTGGACAGTATATATAAAAGGGCCTCTCAGACCATCAGTCTCGGGGGCCTCCCTAGAAAAGTGTAAATGTGGATAGAGGGCCCCCTCAGACTCATTAGGAGTGGACCTCTCTGAATATCAGTCTCAGGGGCCTCTTGTGGCCAGTATGAATATAAGAGCCTCTCAGACCATCGGTCTCAGGGGCCTCTTCTGACTAGTGTGGATAGAGGGCCCTCCCAGACCACCGGTTTCAGGGGCCTCCAGTGGCCAGTTATATGAACAGAAGCGGCCTCACAGCCATCAGCCTCGGGGGCCTCTTCTGACTGGTGTGAATATGAGGGCCTCTCATACCATCAGTCTCAGGGGCCTCCTCTGCCTAGTGTGAATATAAGGGCTTCCCAGGCCATCAGTCTCAGGGGACTCTTCTGACTGGTGCCGGATTGAGGGACCTCCCAGACCGAAAATTTTGGGGGTCTCCTGTGGCCAGTATAAATAGAAGGGCCTCTCAGTCCATCAGTATCATGGGCCTCTTCTGCCTGGTGTGATTATAAGGGCCTCTCAGGTCATCAGTCTCAGGGGCCTCCTCTGACTACTGTGTAGATGGATAGGCCTCCCAGACCATCAGTCTCAGGGGCCTCTTATGACTATTGAGGATAGAGGGGCCTCCTCTGACTAGTGAGGGTAGGGGGCCTCTGCTAGACCGCCAGTGTCAGGGGCCTAAATTTATTCTGACTAGTGTGGATGGAGGGGCCTCCCAGACCACCAGTCTCAGACCTCTGACAAGTGTGGATAGAGGGGCCTCCCAGACCGCCAGTGTCAGGGGCCTCCCCAGACTAGTGTGGAAATTGGGGCCTCCTCAGATCCACTAGGGCCTCTCAGGCCATCAGTCTCAGGGGCTTCGACTGACAAGTATGAACAGAGGGCCTCCTTGGATCCATCACGGCCCCTTGGAGTCCGT